GGAGCCAGCTCAGTGACATAGTGGTTAAGTTTGATGCTCTGCTTCAGCGGCCCCAGAGTTCACAGATTGGGACCCCAGGCATGGACTTAAACACCACTTGTCAAGCCAAGCTGTGGAGGTGTCCCATATACAAAATAGAGGAAGCTTGACACAGATGTTAGCTCAGTGACAATCTTCCTCAAGCAAAAAGAGGAAGATTGGCAACAGATGTTAGCTCAGGGTCAATCTTCCTTACCAAAACAAAAAACAAAACAAAAAAACCCCACAAAAACAAAAAATCATAGATACAGGGAACAGATTAGTGGTTGCCAGAGGTGGGAGGTAGGCAAAGTGGGTGAAGGTGGTCGAAAGGTACAGGCTTCCAGTTATAAGATAAAAAGTTCTGGGGATGTAATGTACACCATGGTGACTAGAGTTAGTAATACTGTATTGTATATATGAAAGTTGCTAAGAGTAGATCTTAAAAGTTCTCATCACAAGAAAAAAAAATTGTAACTATGTATGGTGATAGATGTTAACTAGACTTATTGTGGTTATCATTTCACAATATATACATATATCAAAGCATTACGTTGTACACCTAAAAATAATACAATGTTATATGTCAATTATATCTCAATTAAAAAAATTTTTAAGAATCCACATAAGAGAAAGCATGACAAACCAAAAAAAAGGACTGAGGAAAAAGCATGTTAAATATGAAGCAAAAAGAGGATAACAGGAAAAAATCCAAACATGTAAGTAATCACAGTAAATGCAAATGGATGAAATTCATTGATTAATAGAGCATCGACTTTTTAAAAATGCAAGTTTAAGCTGCTTACTAGAGACACATTAGGAATACAAAAAGGCTGAAACTAAAGAAATAAAAATATATATGTCCAAAAGAATTTATTAGGAAAAAAAGTCAGTCACATTCTAAGTACAAAAAAGTATGCCAGCAAGAACATGTAACAATTCTAAACTTGTGGTCACCTAACAATAATCTCAGAATACAAAGTAAAAATAGGCAAAATCAGAAGGGAAAAATTTAAAATTCACTGTCAAAGGGAGATTTTTACAAAATTACCTCAGTAATTGATAAATCAAAAGGGGGGGGAAGTAAAGCTATAGAAGATTTGAAAAATAAAAATATAACTAACAACTTGGATCTAATGTATATGTGTGTATAGACTATTATATAAAATATAAATAATAAATTATCTATTATATTATCTAGTATATCTATTAAATTATAATATAATTTAAATATATTATCTATTACATACATAGATATCTATTATACATATCTATTATATATGTATACATAATAGATAATATATGTATATAATAGATCATAGATCACATTATATTTATAATAGATATTATAACATATATAATATACATATATAGATCTGAAATAGATATAAGAAAATTTTAAGATTTGATAAACCTGGGTAGTTGATACAAGGATATTTGATATACTGGTCTTTATACTTTTCACATACTTGGTATGTTTTGTAATAAATTTTAAAATTAATAATTATTCACAAGAAAATCTGAAATTGAGCACTAAGGCTGAATTCCTTGTTTTGGCCTCTACAGATGCCTGGCACAGAAGAGAGGACTAGGAGGCCAGATGCCCCCCTCTTTCACAAAATTCCCATCATAAGTAATGTCACTAGCAAGAAAACGTCCTAGCAACTGGGGAGGAGATCAGCCTAAGAACGTACGTAGGTAAGGTGGACAGGGTGCACATGAGGGCGGAGATGCTCAATTCTGTCTCCTCTAAACACATCTGGGAAAGGAAAGTTACATTTGGAAAACAAACAAACAAAAAACGTAGGCGGGTAAATCTGGTCCCCACTACTGCTTCTCGGCTGGAAGCAGACGTCTGACCTGGGTTTTAAATGGCAGGAGTGTGAGGACAAACTGGAAGGGATCCTCCACATGCTTGATGTCTGCTTTCTTTGAATCGCTCCACCTTTTGCGCGTCCCAGCACAACTTTAATCTGACTTCTATTCCTGAGCTAAGTCTCAAAGCCAAACGAGGTCTAAAGTCTCAGACACTTCTTGACTCCTTTTTGTAGCTTGTTTAGTGCCCACTGAGTGTCTTGCACAAAAATGCTTTAAAAAATGTATCGCCGAAGCTGTATATTAAAAGACACTTAAAAAGCATATAAGAAAAGAGTAAGGTTAAACCATATGTTAGGGATATACATTTGGGTATAAAACCACAGAGAAACATAAGGAAGTTTATTTCTGTCCTTCTTTGTTGTCCTGACTATAACACTAAGGGCAGTGGTTACTCTTGGAGGGAGTAAGGAGGCTGTGATCGGGATGGGGCTCATGGAAGCTTCCGGATGGCTGAAGGTCTATTTCTTGACATGAGTGATGGTTACAAGAGTATTTATCTCATAATAATTCATTTGCTTTAAGGTGGTGCTTTTAAGTTGTCTGCAGCTGGGTTTTACTTTACAATAAAAACATTTTTATGAGTGTGTCCCCTGAATGACTGAACAAATGAATCAATCTGGGCACAAGCATCAGTGGCTGCTAATATCAAAAAAGAGCAACATCCAGACATTATGCTCCCCGTGACGGGAGGACACACCAGCGCCTGTGAAGGAGACTGGCCCAAAACTGAACCTGAATCTGATCAAGCCTCTAGATCCAGTTCCAATTAACAGGACAGAGGAACACTTTAAATGACACTATAGGGACAAGGTCGGCAAACTCCAGATTTGGAGTCAGGAAATTCTGCAGTGGGGGACAGAGTATACAAGGGGGGAACGTCTTGATTAAAATAGACTTAAAAGACACATCGACCAATCACAACATGTAGACATTATGTGGCTCCTGCTTTTAAACAAATAAATTACAAACAAACATTTATAACATTTCTGAGACAATTGGAGATTTGAACACTAATGGAATACTTAATGATGTTTAAAAAAATCTTGTTAAATTTTTTAGCTGTGATAATGGTATTTTGATTAGTTTTTTTTTAAAAAGAGAGTATCTTGTAGAGATACACATTAAAATATTTACAAATGAAATGATGTGATTTTGAATTTGCATCAAAATAGTACAGAGAGGAAATTGGATATGGGTACACATGAAACAAGATTGGCCATAAATGGATAATTGTTGAATCTCACTATATTTTTTTACTATTTTCTCTAATACTTTATTTTTGCTTTTTTAAAAAAGTTTTATGAGGTATAATTTACATATCAATAAAATTCACCAGTTTCAAGTGTACAATTTAACAATATTTTGTACATTTATAGGATTGTGCAATCGTCACTACAATCCAGCATTAGAACATTTCCATTACCCCAAAGTTTCCTTGGGGCCTCTGTAATCAATTCCCACTCCCACCCAGCCCTCCGCTGGTGTGCTTCCTGTCTCTCTAAATATGCCTTTTCTGCACATTTCATTTAAGTGGAATCATATAGTACGCAGTCTTCTGCTATTGTCTCTACTAGTATATAAGTTTGGTATTTTCCACAGTGAAAACAATTTTCTTGAATTGAACAATGACTTACATTTCTATAGCATTTCGTGGTTTGTAAAATGCTTTCACATACTTTATCTGAATGGCACCACACTCAAACAAAGGGCGTAAGTAAGGCAGGATAACATTTCTTACTAATCTTATAGATGAGGAAACTGAGGCTCCGATGGTTTAAGGACGCCAAGGTCACAGAGCTAGCAAGTACCGAATTAGGACTCAATTCTGGCCTCCAGTGACCTGGTGAGATATTTTCCCCTGTCATGCTGCCTTGCTATACTGCCCACCGCCCTTGTCCCCCCATCCCATCACTTAGTGCCCCATCCCTCCAACTCAGGCCTCTCCGCATGGAGCCGGAGGACCTGAGCTGCAAGCCTCGGCTGGCTCCGCATCCACACCCAGCTAACAGTGGATGTAGAACCAGTCTCAGGGCCTTGTTTCCTATCTGGAGAAAAAGACAAAATCTCTCTTCTACTCTTTCTTCTTCAGCCTGAGGTGGAAAGGGGATTCCAGCCAATCAGAGGTGTGGACCCTAAGGAGATGAAGGCTGGTTTATCTTCTTTAAGACATAGAGGCAGAAACAAGATGTTCTGTGTGTACACGTGCATGTGCATTCCTCAGCTGTGGGGAGAACCAGAGGGAAGGCATGAGCGAGGACAAGGAGGGTGCAGGATCAAGCCAGCTGGCACATGAGGCTTCCTTCCTGAAGGTGCGTGTGTGAGTGTGTGAGCAGGTGCCTGGGGGCACTAGTGCACAGCTCTGTATACACGTTTGCCCCATGGTCTGTATCTTTGCAGCTAGACTATCAGAGGATGGAAATATCCTGAAATCTCTTTGCCTTCTCTTTGTGTCTTTACATTTTTTTAAATGATTATTGTGTCTGCTCTGTAACCCCATTCTTTGGCATTTTATAGTTAACACTCAGGCAGAGCTCAGAAGAAACCACCAATGGCACCTTCCTCTGGGGAATGGGACTGGGGGTCTCAGGACTCACTTCCCACTGCAAACCCTCTTGCTTCATTTGAACTTTTTGTCCTATATTTGTGGTATTTTCATAATAAAATGAGGGGAAAACCATCGTTATTACCAGTAAGCAGCAGTGTTTCCCTGAAGAGCCTGCTTCTGTCAGCCTACTATAAGGCTGAGCGGATTACAAGTGCTGTCAAACGTAACTTCTCATGTAATCCACTCGTTCATTCAACAAATACTTGATGTTTCCTATGTGCCAGGCAGGCACAGCTCTAGAAGCCGGAATACAGCAGTGAACAAAACAGGTACAAATTCCTCCCCTCCTGGGGATCTACATTCTACTGGATGCAGAAAGACATACAACAAAATTAATAAATTACATGGCACATGAGGAGAAAAGGCAAGGAAGGGAAGGCTGGTGGCAGTACTGGGGATGGGAGGATGTCATATTGAGGGGGGTGGTCAGGGAAGGCGACCCGGGAACAGACTTGGAGGAGGTGAGGGAGCTAGGTGGGAGAAAAGGGCTCCAGGGAACAGCAAATGCAAAGGCTCCGAGACAAGAGTGGTGGCCAGCACGCTTCAGGAACAGCCAGGAAAGCAAGGTGACTGCAGAGTAACAGGAGCTGGGGTTGGAGGGGTTGGAGAGTCATCAGATCATGTGGGGCCTGGCGGACCACTGTGGGGTTTTTGACTTTTACCCGAAATGAGACGGGAGCCACTGGAGAGTTTGAGCAGAGGAGGGTCATGACCTAATATGTGTTCACAGGGTCAGCCTGGCTGCTGCGTGGAAACCAGCCTGTAGCCGGGAAGTGGGGAGCCCTGCGAGGAGATTGTTGAGAGGTGGTGGAGGCTTGGATGAGGGTGGTGGCAGTGGAGGTGGTGGGTGGGCATTCGACTCTGGAAATAGCTAGAAGGGACAAACGACGAGAGTTGCCGATGGATTGGATGTAGGGTTTGAGAGAAAAAGCAGAGGAGAATGACTCCAAGGTTTTGGGCCTGAGCAGCCTGGAGGATGAGATGGGGAAGACTGGGGGGCGGAGGGGAGCAGAAGTAGGTGACATGGGGAAGACCACGAGCTCCGCCTGAAGAAGTTAAAGTTAAGAAGACGGAGGCGATGGGTTGCCGCACATGGGTGTCGTCAGCGTGTGAATGGTAATGCCATCCTCCGAACTCGTCCCCATCTCACAGGTGTGGACGCTCGGGAACCAGGGCTCTGAGTCCGGGGCGGCCCAGGTCACGTGGCCGCGAGCTGGCGCCCCCTGGCGCGGGAAGGTGGGCGGCGGCGGCGGCGATGGCGGCGACGATGGCCGCAGCGCGCGAGCGCGGGGAGCCGGGCCGCAGGGCCCTGTACTTCTGCGGGAGCATCCGCGGCGGACGCGACGACCGGGCGCTGTACGAGCGGATCGTGTCGCGGCTGCGGCGCTTCGGGACCGTGCTCACCGAGCACGTGGCGGCTCCCGACCTGGGTGTGCACGGTGAGGCCACCGGGGCGCGGGGCGCGCGCTGCGGGGCGGACCGGGGAGGGCTCCGGCCCGGGTCCCTCCACCGAAACTGCACACGCCCCGGCGGCGGCCGCCCGCAACCCTGCCGCGCGCCCCCGCGGCGCGGAGCCCGCCCTCCTGCCCGAGAAAAGGAGCCGCGGCTCAGACTCCGTGTGTCCGAATACGCCAGCGGCTGTGAGCCCGGTCTCCGCTTTCAGTTATTATCTTGACCTGTGGTTCCTTCTTGGAGAACTTTCTTCAGCTCTTTCCAGGGGCGTTTTGTAGGGAGGACCAGCATGGGAGTGGACGGGGCTGCTTCCGTTCCCACCTCACCTGCTGCACCTTCTCCCCAACCTAAGACAAAACTTCTTCTGCTTCCCCCTTTACGTCCGGATATCCGCCCTCTCCTAGACGGACAGACCCCAGTGCTCCGCCCACCACCTGTCCCGCCCTCTGATCAGGCTGTTACTATAGTGTTCTGCTCCTTCTGGCTTCTGGGTCTTTCTAATGCCTGGCTTTGATCTGCTGGTCCGGAATCTCGCTGACTCTTCTAGTTTGAAAATTGTGCCTAGAACTCTTGTATTTCTTCTGCTCAGAAAACCTTAAGTGGTTCCTCGTTGCCCGACTCAGGAGCAGATCCAGGATTTGTGGGACCTAATGTAATTCGGGGAGACTTTTTTTTTTTTGAGGTAGATTAGCCCTGAGCTAACTGCTGCCAATCCTCCTGTTTTTGCTGAGGAAGACTGGCCCTGAGCTAACATCCATGCCCATCTTCCTCTACTTTAGATGTGGGACGCCTGCCACAGCATGGCTTGCCAAGTGGTGCCATGTCCGCACCCGGGATCCAAACCAGCGAAGCCCGGACCGCCAAGAAGCGGAATGTGCGAACTTAAGCTCTGCACCAGCGGCCCAGCCCCGGGGAAGACTTGTTTAAAAAAATGAAATCACGAAACAAAATTGCTAGGGCCTTGGAAAGGGCCTGTGCAAGTGAGGGACCCTGAAGCTTAAGGTTCCTTGGTTTCAGGTCATATCCACCCCTGCCTAATGATTCTCGAACCTTAGTGTGCTCAAATATAATCTGAGGGAGCTTGTTTAAAATGCCGATTCTCTGCGACGAAGACTTAGACTGTATTTTTTAACAAGGTCTCCAGTGATTCTGCTCTGACGCCGGTGGCTGTGAGCCTCAGGTCCCAGTGGGTAAGGTTTAATCAGGTAGGATCACAGAGCTCCTGACCCTTGGACCCCAGCATGCCTCTCCTACCTTAGCTCCCACCGCCTCCTGCTGGTCACGCTCTGCATTCAGGCAGTGGCTCTCCAAGGTCGGCGCGTCTCAGAAGCACCTGGAGAGCTCATGAAGCAGCCAAGACTCAGGTTCTCAGGCGATTCTGCTCCCACCAGAGCTTGAAGCCAGTCTGTTGGGCTCTAGTTTTCTCCAGCCTTTCCTTGCACGGGCGTCTCTTGCAGCTGCCTGCCTCTTCCCCCACCTGGGATGCTCTCCTCCTTCTCTTCTCCTCTAGTCATCCTGACCCAGTGAGTCAGTCCTTCCCTTCACCTCATCTGCATCACTCATCTGGCCCTAAGCACACATCCCACCTTGCACAGGAGTGAATTTTTCTTGCGGCTGTTCCGCTTCCTCACTGATTTTCATGGAATCTTAGTGTTGGGCAGGCCCTCGGAGGTCATCTAGTACGTCTCCCTCCCTCCCTGAGCAGGGTGGACATAGGGGTGGCGAGGGCAGGGGAGAGGGGCTGAGTGCTGAGGACAGGGCCGGGGTGTGGCCTTGACCAGCTTTCTTTCCACCACAGGGGAAGAGGCTGCTGGGGGTGACAAGCTCATCCATGAGCGAGACCTGGCCTGGCTGCAGCAGGCTGATGGTGAGTGGCCCTCCCTCCTACCCTCCAGCTCCTCTGGGGTGTTAGATACCCTGGACGTGCCTGGCCTCCCCACCTAGAAGGGGTGCCCTGGAGCTGCCTCCTCACCACACCCAGACTCTGTCATCTCTCCCTCACAAGCGTTCATCTCACCTTTCTTCCCAGTGGTCGTGGCAGAAGTGACCCAGCCATCCTTGGGTGTAGGCTACGAGCTGGGCCGGGCCGTAGCCCTCAATAAGCGAATCCTGTGCCTCTTCCGCCCGCAGTCTGGCCGAGGTGAGCACTCCAAGCCCTGGATGGCCACACCCTCCCTCCCCAGCTTTCTGAGGACCCAGCCCTCAGCGCCTTCCTTGGGGCCTCTGAGTACAGTGCCTACCCATAAAAAGGGAGGAGGAAGGGAGCGGAAAGGGGGGAGTATGGAAGGGAGGCCCCTTCACCTTCCTCCACCCCTCCTAGTGCTTTCAGCCATGATCCGCGGAGCAGCAGATGGCTTGCGGTTCCAGGTATGGGACTATGAAGAGGGAGAGGTGGAGGCCATGCTGGATCGATACTTTGAGGCTGATCCTTCTGAGGAGGTGGCTGCCTCCCCTGAGCCAACCGCTTGACTTAACCTCACTTCATTAAATTCTTCGAATCCCAGACTCTGCTCTAGTACCATTCCTGCCCCTTAGCCCCAGTACCGAATTAAAAGGTATGTTTAAAATTCACACGTTACATCGGTATGTGTGGCAGGGCGGGGCAGGTCCTCAGTGATAGCCTCTTCCCACCCCACTTCACGTGACGATGGAGAGACCCTTTAAAAGGCTATGGGCCCCCAGGAGGAAGACCCTTCCTAATACCCTCAAGCCCCTGCAGGGACTTTCAAGAGTTTGGAGGAAGGCTGCTCACGGGGGAGAGCCATTCCTCTCTGTCTCCTCTGACACTGGGCTGACTCTGGGGCAAGTAGACAAGCCTGCGCCTGGCCCTCCACCATGTGGACCTGCATTTCCCTTTATCAGCTTAGGGCAGATGGGTCTGCCTTGGGCTTTCTCTGAGGACAGAAGAGTCCAGAGGTCTAAAGAAAACAGTAAAGAATGAGGAGGGCTGGGGTGAGGGGAGTTGAACCTGGCCTTTGGGGAGGCTGCCCAGCCAGCTTCCAGAGAAGTGTGTGAAAAAAAAGACGTTTATTCAGTAAACAGAAGAAGGAGCTGCAGATGCTGGGAATCGCCTCCCCCCACGATGGTGGGAAGGGGTGAACTCCCCACCCCCGAGGCCCATGACTCCGGGGTGGCCCCAGGTGTTCCCTGCGTCCTGCCCCCTCAGTCATAGGCATCATCATCATCCTCCTCATCACCAAAGAAGAAAGTCTCCCGGTCCAGGTTCTCAGACTCCTCATCATAGGAGAAGCTGTCATTGTCCAGCTCCTCATCAAACTCATCCTGCTGCCACTCAGGGACATCCTCCTCATCGTCCTCCTCCTCTTCCTCCTCCTCCACCTCCAGCCCCGAGGAGCCCTGGGGCCTAGGGAGAGAGAGCCACACTCAGCCCCACAGGAAGCCTGGCGTCTCCCACTCCCCGTCCACGCTTCTGCCCAGACTACTCACTGATGGCCAGGCGTGTTGGATCCTTTCGCCTCCCAGGCCTCTGATGATGGACTCTGGAGACCAACCCGGAAATCCTGGCCAGAAGAAGGAGGATGTAGGGAGTAGGAGAGCAGAGGACACGGGGCCTCTGTGACCAGCATTCCTTCACCCACGTTCTTTGAGGGCCTACTAGGTGCCAGGCCCCTGGGAGGAATGCTCCCTCCTCTTCTCCCTCCCTCGCCACAGCACTTCACAAGCCCCCGCCTGTGTGTAATCTAACTCCGAGGTGTCTCCAGGAACACAGGACACGCCCGTGAGCACACCACCCTGCGCTTCAGGAGCCCGCAGTTTATGCTCACGTCCTTCCTGTCCAGGTTACGTACTAGTCCCTGAGCTCCCTGAGGGCAGGCTTCATAGGTTAGACTCAGCGTCAGTGTATCAGAGCTAGAAAGAACCTCAGAGATCCCTTACTCCAGTGGATCCCAATTCCCTGGCCCCTATTCCCGGGATTGTGAATCCACCTCTGGGAAATATGTCTGAAAAAGTTACCCAAGTGATCCTGACGAGCAAGCATTTGGCCAAATCTGGGCTAACTCCTTTATTTTGTAGGAAATGCCAGGTGGTTAAGTGGCAGGATCCAACAGCATCCAGCAGGCTGGCCTAGGAGCTGGAACGCACACCCAGGTCTCCAGACATCCCTTCGCCCTTGCTGCCTTTCCTTCTGGACTCCCCCAGGCAGGGGCTGTGCTGGCACAGGAGGTGCAGGGCCAGGGTAGCATACCTGGGCGGAATGCTGCAGGATAGCGAGCAGCCTCTCCTGGATCCGCCGCAGCAGCTCTAGGCCTGTGTTGAGGCAGTCTGCCCGAAGGAGGCGCAGGGACGAGGCCAGGTCTCTGCACCGCAGCAGGGTCTCCTCTGCAGGGGGGCAGGGCACAGGGGCTCCCTCCCTTCTTTCATTCCTTCCACTCCTTCCTTCACCCAACACCTACTGAACATCTACCAAGTTCTACTAACGTCTGCCAGGCACAGGTCCAGACAGGCCTTCTCCTGGGGCTCACGTACTAGTGGTGGGGGGCAGATGGCAATGAAATGAAAGGTCAGGGGAAGATCTGTGCCTTGGGCATGTACTGCATACCTTTATAAGGGAATTGTAAAGGCCCGTGTGATAAGGCTATGAAGAAGCAGGAGGAGTAAGAGGACAGAGTGAGGCTGGGGAACTGGGGGGCGCTGTTTCGTCCGCTTGTGTGTCTGTTGGGATGGGCCGCTCAGAGGGGAGAGGTGGGCAGGAGAAAGGACTGGCCAGGCGGGGCCGGGCCTCACCGAGGAGGATCTGCAGGGCATTGGTGTGCAGCTCCAGGTTCTCGGTCTGCTGCTCCACCACGTCCATGTGCTCCGTGTCCTGGTTGTAGAAGCTGTACACGCAGGCATAGGCCAGCACCTAGGGGAGCCCAAGTCAGCCCTGCCCCTGCTGAGGGGCGGGCCTCCCCTCCACCGCTCCCTCCTCATTCCTTCCATTCAGGCAGGTGAGAGGAAAGTGGCCCAGCCCACCAGACCCCCTTGGCACGTCCCTCTCCTCCCCTATCACCCCGCCACCACCTTTCGAGCCTGCTCCAGTCCTCGGCAGGCATCGCTGAGGAAGGTGAAGGATTTGGGTGGGGGCACCTCATGGATGGCAGACACGCGGTTCCGCAAGTTCACAGCAAACACCTGTGCAGAGGAAGGTGGGTCAGCACCCATGCCTGCAGCCCCGCCCCAGCCAGTCAGAACAGCACCCATCCAGTTCGGGCCTGGGGCCCCTGCCCAGCTGTCCACCCCAGCCCTCTGACCTCACGGACCCAACTGTTTCCTCACTGCTCACCCGGGCCTGGTGGTGGAAGGTACACCTCTCGTTATAGTCCTGAAACCGCTTCTCCTGGCGGGCTGCTTTGCTTACCTGGTGAGGACACATTGAGAGGGCTGTCGGGTAGTTTGCTGGGCAGCACAGGGTTAGTAATCAGACTAGCTACCAGTCAGGGAGGCCTTTGATGCTTCACCCAGATTTCTTCATTTAATCCTCGTAACTCTGTGAGGGGGGGTCACATCCTTACCCTTTTTACAGATGAGGATGCTGCGGCTTGGACAAGTAAACTGACCCAAAGCCACACACTAAGCAGAGAAGCAAGGCTCTGACTCAGAGTCCTTGCTCTCCTCCTCTCTGTCCTGGGGCCTCCTGAGAATGCCTAGCCTGCCCCAGCCTTTCTGTAGCCCCCTCGGTGTGAGCAGTCCGATCCTGGGCTGGAGGTCCCTATGCAGACCTCTCATGACAGAACTCTGTAGGTGCAGGTGGCTTCTGTCTTCTCCCCCCTGAGCCTCTGTCCCAACAGCTGCTCTGGACACAGAGCCCTCTCTGCCCATCCTGCTGCCCTTGGGCCTCCGCCCTCCTCCTGGGGCCCAGCCACTCACCATGGCAGAGCAGTTGTAATAGTCCTTGTGATTGGGCTTCCAGGACTTGAGGCAGCGCCAGCAGAAGCCATGGTTACATTTGGCACAGGTCATGCTATGGAGGAAGCTAGCTGGTCAGAGGGCTCCTGCCTCTGGCCAGGGCCACACCAGGAATGCCAGGGCCTGGAGGTTCTACTGAAGATGCCCCTGGCCCCTCCCATGCCCTTACTGTCTCCTTAGCCTTACCAATCCCTACGACACGCACCCTTTGCTTCTGCATTCCCCCATACGGTATAGACTGAAAAATGGGGAAAGGAACATTAAAACCCAGGAATCACTCTGGAGAGTGCTAAGAGAGGGGTGCCTGAGTAACTGCCCTTGTTTGCTGAGCTTTCCGGCAAGCCCCACTGCCGCTTCCTTACTGCCAGCTCTCCCACCCTCTCCCGTGCCCTCTGACTCCCCCAGTGCCCATAGCACCCCCTTCTTACTGTAGACACCCCTCGTTCTTCTCAATGGGAGCCTGACAGCTGGGACAGCGCTTGGAGATGAGCTTGGCCAGGTGCTTGCTCTGGGCCTCCACGCTCATGCCATCGTAGTAGCCGCCATCGTCGACCCACTGAGACATGTGGCCACAGCTGGCAGGGTAGTGTGCCTAGAGTAGGAGCGGTGGTAAGGACACAGCTCAGGCCTTACTGAGGGTGGCACTGCTGGTGTGCATGCGAGAGGGAGGGAGGTCACATCTGGAGGACTAGAGGAGGAGGAACAGAGCTCACCTGGGTGGCAGAGGATGAGGACAAGGCAGAGTCTGTGTGTGGGAGGCAGGAAGGGGTGTTGAGCAGGGGAGGGGTGTGATTCTGGCTCAGGGTCAGGGCCCACCTCAGGGAAGCTACAGTTGAAGCAGGAGGCCCAGCCACACTTGGAACAGGTGGTCCCACAGCCCAGGCCCTGGCGGCACAGGATGCGGTCACAGCCCTGGGGGTTGGTGCACCAGGTCAGGTTGGAGCAGCTCTCCACATAGCCACGTAGGAGGGCCTTCTCGTACTGTGGGGACGTAGGTGCCATGAGGTGAGGGCCTGGCTCTCCAGGGTGCCACACCTCCAGGCCCCTCAGCACCCCACATGTCAGTCCATTCCCTGGGGCCCACTCCTTTGGCTGTGCACTGGCACTTCTCTCAGAGGGTGGGGCTACCTTGGAGATGACCTCTGGCGAGGAGACGATGGCACGAATGAAGGCTCCGGTAGGCTGGGCAGGGCAGTCGGCAATGGGGCAGGTGCAGTTCAGCACGAGGTTCTGCTCAATTCGAGTTGTCAGATACTCATTCCAGCAAGACTGGGAGGGAAAAGGAGGGGCCGCTCAGGCACAGCGCGGGAGCAGCACAAGAGGACGGTGTCCTGGTAACTAACCCAGTGCCACTCCCCAACAACGTGGAAGGCCAAGACAAGCCTGCTTCTAGATCAACCTCCAAACTGACAGTCATCTTTCTGGCTTCCATAGGTTTTCCTGGGATTGGCCCAAATTACAGTTGTCTTTGAGGATGTGTAGGCCAGGATAGTAGCCTAATTACAATTATTGTTGGGCTGGACTTGGAGGGAATGGGTAAAGAGAATCACAAAAAAGGAGAAGAAAGATTCAAGTTCTAAGAAAGAATTAGAGAAGGCAAGAAGCTCAGAGAGAAAGGAGGCCTGGGGAGGTGGGAGGCCTTTTCCCCAGGGGGTGGCTGGCCT